CTTCAGTGTGACCCTGTGTGGGTAGAATTCTTATCTAAGAGAATAAATCTGTTGGAAACTGGGAGAATATATTATGTTTTTCACAAAATTAGATTATTTAAAAAAGACCAAGTGTCACAATATAGAAAGTCAGGATGTTATATATATTTCCATTAGAATAAATGTCACAGTACATCTTTTTGGAGGAAGATAAATGTCGTGTGTGTGTGTGTGTGTGTGTGTTTTCTAAAATCTGCTACATGTATTGTTTTTAATCACTCACAAGCCTTATAATAATATGACAATTTAAACTAAATAAATCATGCACATCAGTAAGGGAAAAATATGAAGTTTGAATGACATAATTATATGATTGTATCTAAGAAATATCGAATATATATCTATCTTTATAACATTTTAATTTTGCTTGGGAATTTGAGAGTTCTGGTTCAAAGAAATGTGATATATAATTTACTTTTCTCACAAGGCATAGGTATTATAAAGATGATACATTCTTTGTGGGACCCATGGGATAATTTATGTTTCACAATTGAATATACCAATGGATTTGATTCACACCACTGCAAAACAAACAAACAAACAACTTGAAATTATCACCAAAATTTTATTTATTTGGTAGTTTAGTACACATTTTGTTTGTGATTGGTTTATCATATATGTATAATAAATGTAAACCAATCTATTGGGGTAATTATATATGAGTTAGAGTTTTGCAAGAAGTCTATAATATTTTTCATAAGAGAAGAAAATGTTAAAGAAGCAGTCTACTAAGGTGTAATATATATTATACCATCTACATTTATACATAGTAACATATTTACACATCTGTACTTACATATATATTTATAAATTTCATGTACACATATTTAAATGATATAATACAATATATTGAATTGTTTTTTGCCAAGTAAATGATTGAAATTCTTTATTGCATACATTATCATATACTAATTTCCTTGGCAATAATTTCCTGAAATACTTTAGATTTTGTACCATCAAGTGACTTCATCTACCTTTGACCCAGATAGTGCTCTCCTGGAATACAGAACACATTAAAGATTTATTAATGTGTAATGAGTCCAGAAGTGGTAGTAAGGGTGTCAGGCAGATATCCATCATGGTGAGGAGTTAATATCTGTATCTGCATTACATTCTAATTGATGGCTCTGTCTGATGTTTGAAAAGCGTTAAATTGCTGATGTACATGTGATGAAATGCCTATTGTCAAGCTAGAGATGAAAACTCTGCCTCTTCATAGCAACTGGTTTTAAAATGATTTGTTGAGAAATGACTTTGAATATGTACATTGGAGGTCAGATTTAGAAATCTCACATTTTTTCACAAATTGCATATACTATGTCTTACTTGAGCATAAACCATTCACTATGATTCAGGTTTGTTTGTTTGTTTGTTTTACAAAAGCCTTTAGAGAGAGTGACTTCTGTATAACTATGTTGAGATAATATCTGAGTAAATTAATCAATAATACATAAGCTGAAAGTTTAAAAATGTAAGTATTGTATCATGCCAAGACAGTAGCAAATTTATTGATATTTAGGCTAAGTTTTTTATCCATAGTGAAAGAAATTGAAGTTTTTAAAACATGTTAAAATTAATTGGTTCATATGTATTTAACATTAGTTTACTACTAACTTTGCAGTCATATTTTTATAAAACCAGAAGTCAAATTAAAAAGTATGTATCCAAGCATTACTTTCCTCAGTCTCACCCTAATATGAGTTATTAAAATTTGAATCTCTTTCCTCTTTTGCAACAAAACAGAGTTGAAATCATAGATTTAAGAAATCCTTTATTCTACCACCTCCAAATAGTATTTTCTGTTAAAAGTTTCTTTAAATGAAGTATCAGTTGGTTTCTTTCTCTACTATCAACCATCACTTAACCTATTTGAATAACTATCCCTAAATCCATGCATTATTCTCTTTCTCTGCTTGTCCTGACGTGAAAGAACATGGAATTCAAATACTGAACTTTCTGGAGTCAGGGGCTAGGGATGTCGTTCTGTGGTAGAGCACTAGCTAGTGAGTGCGGAGGCCATAGGTACCATACCTGGTGAGGAAAAAACAAGCCAAAGAAAACAAAGCAATAGCAAAAACTAGCAAATAGAAACAAAATTCAAAACAAGCAAGTCAGGATGGAATGAGGGAGGGAAAAATAAAGTTTGTGAAAGCATATCTGATGTTATTCTAATACATACCAAAAAATACCAACATTTAAAGAATATAGTATTTTAATTTCTATATATAGAATAAATGTAAAAGAAGAAGAAAAACATCTAAACAATTATAGGTATCTGAGTGACTATTTTGCAACCTCTTTCCCTTCTGCACAATGTCTTACAGAGTTATATATTTTCTTCTGCATCATTTAATTCACTTACTATATCCGATAATCCTTGACAGTTGTTTTCTCCTCTAAAACCAGAAATGTTAACAGGTGAGGGTAGTTATGCTTATGAGTTTAAGGCCAGCCTAGGCAACTTAGTAAGAACCTGTCTCAAAATAAAAAGGGCTGGGAATGTAACTCAGTGGTAGTGTGCTCCTGGGTCCAATCCCCAGTATCAAATATAAACAAACAAACAAACAAACAATCCCAGAAATCTTGATTCTATTGCATATACCCTATCCAGCATTCAGTGAGTGACTTAGGTTCACTATCTAACTAATCCTAATGATGATCCTATAAAGTCCATGAGTTTGATATTGTTATCATGCATATTACACAGACAAAGAGTTACAGAAAACTTAAGTCTTTTGTCTGGTGTCTTCTTTTTCTAACTTTCTCTCATTATCTCTGGCCCTGTGCTTCCTTCTCAGTCCTAGCATACCACTGTTTTCCAAGCCAGCCATTCTCATTTCTTCTGTTTGTAAATTTTCCCTTACCTCAATGCCTTCCTCTCACATTGCTCTTCTCCTGCCATATACCACTAAAAGATCACTTTCTTAAAGAATCCTTTCTCATATTTTCTACCAGAATCAATCTCACCTAAATTACCCTGGAGCTGTGTATAAGTTATTTGACTTCCTTTTTTGTTTATATATTTGACTCTGATTGTATTGTTCTCTACTTTGGGGATAGATACCTATTTATCTTTGTCATTATGCTTCTACCAATAACTGATACACATCTTTGAGCCAACTCTGTGTTAGAATGATCCCTGATTATAGGGTAGCCTATTGCCAGGTGTAGTGGTGCATACCTGTAATCCCAGAGGCTCAGGAGGCTGAGGCAGGAACAAGTTCAAAGTCAGCCTCTGAAATTTAGCAAGGTCCTCAACAACTTAGTGAGACCCTGCCTCAAAAAAAAGAATAAAAAGGGCTGGGGATGTTGCTCAGTGGTTAAGCCCCTCTGTGTTCAATCTCTTACAAATATATATATAGGGTAGCATTTGAAAATTCTAGTCAGAAGTACAATTATTTCCTTTTGCAAAATTTAATAACTAGTTTTTGAACTTAGAAATTCAGAACATTTGAATTATATGGGACTCCATTTGCCAGAATTGGCACTACGTATAGCCATAATTCTGTACATAATGCCACTTTCTCTGATGAAGTCTTTGTTTCCATCTTTTACATTAGAGATCACTTGTCAATCACTAGCTCTAAGGCAATTAGATAATCAATTATCAGTTGAGCTCTGTTCTTTGTCCACCACAGTGGCATATGTTGAAAAATCATGAAATACAGTGAGGGACCTTAGAGTCCAGCTGGGGTGACAAATCTAATACTAAATCTAATATTGGTATTATCAGAGAAAATTTAAGTATAAGTTCTCTTAATCTGCAACAATAATACACCAGTGGGTTATTGAATACAGACTTAAGACCACTTGCAGTTAATTAGCCCAGTTATCCTAATATCACTCTGTAAGATTCAGCAAACTGTCATCCAAAAATGTGTAAGGGAAAAATACCTCCATCTGCCACTCCTGTAGTAAGGTTATAAAATCAGACTCTCCTATGCTGGCAAAAGGCTTCCCACTTTGGATTGTTGCCACACTGGATTTTTATTTAATATTCAGAGAGCCAGGCTATTTCATGTCACTAATTCCTTGGGACATCTTAGTGCTCCCTCGTAGCCGGAAAAATTTCCACTCCTTTTAGTAGTTTGTGACTATGTAATACATTATATTTTGCTTCTTATATATTTTGTTGTTGTTGTTGTTGTTGGTTTGTTTTATTTTGGTTTTGGGTCTGGTATTGGAACTCAGGGCCTCACACATGCTAAGCAAGAGCTCTACCACTGAACGACATCCCTAGCCCTTTTTAAATTTTATTTTGAGACAGGCACTTGCTAAATTATTATGCACATACATATTATGTCCAGGCTGGCCTCAAACTCAGCATCTTCCTTTCTTAGTCTGCAGAAGAGCTGAGATATGGGTGTATGCCACCATGCCTGGCTGCTTCTTTTATTTTTGTAGAGCTGGTACTCCTTAGTTGTTGAAGAAGGTATTTTTATCTGAGATTTGTGGTTTTGAAACCAGCTGCGATAATGTAATCATCCTAACATCTTTTATACTTTTTCCTCCTAAGACAAGTTACCATTTTATTGGTTTTGACCTTTAATTTTTTAAAGTTGTTTTGAAATGTGTAAGTTTAATTTTGCCATCATTGTAATAATTATCCTCCAGTGCAGTTGTACATTGTGACTTCTGTTATTCTGCTGAATTTCAAAGGTTAATTGTGTATGTGTTTAAGTATGTAATTTAAAAAATATTTTCTAATGTCCTCTCCACCAAGAAGCTTCTGCTTTCATTTTTAAAATTTTCCTTTCCTATATGAACTTTAACAACAATACATTATTAAACAGTTATCTCAAATATGAATTTCTATAAGGAAAAATTTTCCCCTCTATTATGGTCACTAAAATTTTGTGGATACCAATAAGGTTTATTGAGTTTCTTCTTTTTTTTCCACCTTGTAAATGTTTTAAAAATTGCTTTCTTATTTTAAGAAAATACATTTCTTATTTTCACAGATAAAAAGATGGCATATCAGAAGGTCAATGCAGATCAAAGAGCTTCAGGACACTCACAGTACTTAGACAATGATGACCTTCAAGCCACTGCCCTTGATTTAGAGTGGGACATGGAGAAGGAACTGGAAGAACCTGGTTTTGACCAGTTTCAGCTAGATACTACAGAGAATCAGAACCTTGGGCACTCAGAAACTGCGGACCTCAATCTTGATTCCATTCAACCAGCAACTTCACCCAAAGGAAGGTTCCAGAGACTTCAGGAAGAATCTGACTATGTTGCCCATTATGGAAGATCTGCACCAAAGAGCAACCGCTGCCACATTTTAAAAATACTTTGCACAGCCACCATATTATTTATTTTTGGAATTTTGATAGGTTATTATGCACATACAAATTGCCCTTCAGATGCCACAACCTCAGGAACAGTCGATCCTCAGTTATACCAAGAGATTCTCAAGACAATCCAAGCAGAAGATATTAAGAAGTCTTTCAGGTAGGTGTAAAAGAAATGGATTTTGGTGGGATGCAATTCCTGGGAAAGATGTCCCACAGGGGATATTGCACTGGCAGTCTTGCCATGATTTAAGTCAGTTTTACAAACTGAGAAACATAACTTGTTAGCATATCCAGAAAAGAAACTTTGTAGAGGGTGACCCATTTTCATATTTATGGTACTGTAATACAAATTTATGATGCTGTTTCATGAATTGATAATAAGGATCATAACTACCATGGGGACTAAAAGACTCTAACCAAAGCATTTTTTTCTCTTTTTGGGAAGTCCAGTTAGGCCAAGTTGGTGTGCATTTTGGGGAATCTTGTCCACTGAAGATGCATTGTTTAATTCATGTACTGAAGTATCAGGGGTATTGATGTTGATGAATTCTAATCTTCTACCTGAAAATAATGTGTGACTGATGAGAGAGAATGTGTTTCCTACATACTTCTATGTCTCCTATTCTCTGTTGCTTAAGCACCATTGGAAATATAATATGCAGATAATAATATTTTCCCTGTTATTCCACAACATGAAATTGTTTATATTGGATTGAGTCAAAAGATATCCCATTGACATATAATGAATTATTGTATCAGTCATGATTCAACCATCATAACAGAAAACTCCTTGAATATTTTAAGTAAAGGATATTTAAAGTATGGATATAATTCCATCAGTGATGAAAAATGAAAAATAGCACACGGGATACTGACACAGCCCAGAAATGAAGCCATTTTTAAACCAAGGCTGGAGGAACTGGTAGAGCTGGCACTTCCTTCATATACTAGTATAGAGGATATATAGCCTCAGGTAGAGACAATACTAAAGACAGAAGTCAAGAAAAGCCATGGCATATCCTTTCCTTTTGCTGCTCAGAGTCTTAGCAGTTGTCCCACTGACTGATCGGAGCAGGAGGCTGACTCAGAGCCTGGTAGCTCATCCTATAGAGATCAGCCCCCTGGGATACAGGCTGGACAGGGGAAGGGCAACAGGTCTTTCACAAATAGATCTCAGTGTTTCAAGGATGTTATTTTTTTAAAAAAAAACAACATGCAAAGAAAGCATAAGAAACTTATAAAATTGTGTTTACCTTAACTTCAGCATGGATACCCATTCTATATTACAAAAGTGTTTCCTGGAAAAGGACCCATGGGATTAATTTATTTTTAATAGTAAGAATAATTACATTTTTTCCTTAGTCACTTTTTAATTTATATTTGTAAGCTAAATTATCTTATAATTCAGCCTACTTCCCTCTTTTTTTGGCTTTTCTTAAGTTTAAAGTCAAATCTATAGTTTTAAGTCCATGATGAAATTAATGGTATGCCTTTTGTTTACCAAGTAGGCTACATACCCATCCCCCCCCACCCAACTTGGCTTTCTTTGTCTTGTTTGTTTTAATTTTTGAGGCATTGTAAACATATTTAATAGCTCAATTACATCTTCTTTGCAAATGAGAAGCTAATTTTAAAATTTAAAATATATGATTAAATAGAAATATTTATTATTTTTCTCAGAGTGGAAGTTGAAGAAGAGTAATGTTTATATTCCCACATTACACAATGAAATCAACCAAATGACATATGTTTTAAAACTAATTACAAATATATGACCAAAGAATTTATTGTCCCAGATAATATTTCATGGTTGGACACAGATTCAATATTTTCTCCATCAAATAGTCATAGTTTTTTTTTCTTTTTAACATAACAGACTTTTTCTATAAACCTTAATATTTTCATTACAAATATGTTTACAATGACTTTCTCTGAATAACATCTCCTAAAAGATAACTTTTCCCTCGAAAACCCTTCTAACTACATGCCTTATGATGAGTACCTGTTTTTATAAGTAATCTTAGCCTTAACTCTGTACACTATAGATTCCTGCTGTTATTTTCCATCATCCTGTGATAAATCTTGCATTCCTCTTGGCTTAATATTTTGGGAAGGAATTTCTATCTCTCCTATTGGTTCTTCATTCCTGTTCAACCTCTAAGGATATGTTGGATCTTGTGCAATATTCTAACAATTTTGCAATATAAAATATTATATTGTAGACTCCATGAGAAAATGGATCAAGCTTGTTTTGTGCATTATCAGACCTCATATTCTGTCAGACATTGATTAAGTAGTTTTTAAGGGGGGAAATAGCACAAACATATCTGTGTTTAATTTTTCAATTATATTATGTAATTTGAAAAACTGCCTTACTATTTGGATTTTTAGATTATGATTATATTCAGATATTACACTGTGAATATAATATTTATTTACATTTTATTATATTTTAAATTGTATTATAATTTAAAATGCTGTTATAATTTTTTAAACTAATAACTCCTATCAAAACCAGATATTATAAAAATGTTAAAATGTCCCCGTTATTGTCTCACTTCTAGCTGAGGCATGAGGACAATCAATACTACATTTCTAAGAACAGTATGGAGAACTTGAAAAAAAAAAAACAGGGTAAATCCATAGATGATCTGCCTTTTGCAGCTTATGAGAGTTTGGATAAACTAAGTCATAGGAGAGTAGAGAAGGAGAAAAGGGTTTTGGAGAGAACTGTTGGGGTGCTGTAGGTCCCCATCTGTTCTCAAGAAGGTAACCTCAAATCTGGTAGAAAAAGAGTTCAACAAAACTATGTGGAAGAATGTATCTTGTCTCATGCAGAGTATAACTCCCACCTGAGAAATCTAAGTAGTAAAAGAAGGACTGGTTAGTTGCTGCTAAAAATGCAAAAGAAGAGAAAAACAAGCACTCAGAGGGGAGAAGCTAGAGTTATTTTTAGATGTCTGGGTGACTGGGCATTGTGGAAAGTGTAAGCTAGGAACTGAAGGAGTGTATTGCTCATGTTAAAGGAAGGTGAGAGGATTCCACTTGTACAATGGATGAGTCTCCAAAGAACCTAAAAATCATGCACAAGAGAAAAGCTTAGCTGAGAACTCCCACTACAATCAGAGAAATACCACACTAGCTCAGAGAGTATTGGTTAAGGAGGAGCAGAAACTTGGGCGGAGACATGACTCAGTGGTACAGCACATGCTTAGCATGTAAAGGGACTTGGATTTGATGGACACCACATAAAAACAAACAGAACAGAATCTTCCAGAAACTTTGGCTCCCCATTACCTATTCTCTTTTGTTCTGTTTCAACCCTGGAGGTTTCAGAAATTCTTAGGGAAGATGTATAAAAACAGCACTTAGAGCACCCTGACAGTTCTCTCCAAAACCCTTTTCTTCTCCATTATTCTATGACAGCTAATCCAAACTCTCATAAGATACAAGTGGGAGATGGTATCTGGGTTTATGGTATCTTTTTTTTTTGAGTTCTCCATACTGGTCTTAGAAATGTGCTATTAATTATCTTCATGTCTCAGCTGGAAGTAAGACTTTGATGGTGATACTTTAACATTTTTATAGTATCTGGTTTTGATAGGAGTTGTCACATTTTAAAATCCAAAGTTGTCACCTTTTAAAAGCATAGAAGAAGCTTTGACTACTCTTCTATCATTGACTCCAGGGTTTACAATCAGGAGATAGCCAAAAGCAGAGGCATATTCAACATTTACTACTAAATGATACTAAACATTTGAATTGCTCACTAGTATATCATTTAAAAGTAAGCATAATTGCTAGAGCTTTTATTCAGGAATAGGGAAAAAGAAAACAGAAGCAAAAATAAATAATAACTAGCTTCAACGAATAAATAAAAATGGGGAATGTTTACTCAATGTAGAGGTCTTTGTATGATTATTTAGTATTTTACAAAATAACGTTTGAATAATGTGTTGAGTCAAAGAGAATCTTTGAGAGAGGTACTTACTGATTGCATATACAAATAATAAAGTCTATGTGATTGATTCTCCATTCTCAACTACTTGGTATCATGTGAACCAAATTAAAGAAAATTAGGTAGAGTTTTAGTTACATTTGATGACATTTGTTGATATGGTCAAAATTAGCAGATATGAAGACCATGTTAGCATTATGTTTGTGTTTGTGGGTGTGTATATGTGTGCATGCGTGCATCGTTCAATCTTCCAATAAGATTCGCAGGGTCTCCTATGCTTCATTTTTTGCTATTTGGGAAATGCACTCATCCCTTTAAAGTTGCTCCCTTTTTTCTTCTATATATCTTTTGAGTAGGTGGATGTTTATTCAGATACATATCATATATATTCAGATGTATCAGACTCAAAATAGGTCATTAAAATTTGCTTTGATGTTTGCTTTTGAAGCAGTGACTATTGGGAAAATGGTAATTTATTGTAAGGATCAAAACAGTGGGCTGGCTTCACACATCACTCTATGAATAAGAATTATTCATTTGATCAGATCCTATTGTTGCAGAATCAGGATCTAATCCACTCCAGGGACCTCAGTAGGCACAGTTCTCTGATGACACTGAAGTGTTGACCATCAAAGCAGCTGAACTCCCTTATCTGCACGAGTTTTTCTTTGTATTCTTGCATTTTTACCCAATACTAGCTGCTGTGTTCTCAGCATAGTATTCCTCTATTCCTCTTTTCTAGAATGAAACATAATTATTATACTTTTGGGGGCCAGAGACATTTGTGACTCTGTTTGAAGTGCTTATCTCTATCTAATCTGCTTCAGCCAGTTGAGATTCTGGTAACCTAGTGCATTTACCTGGGAATATCGAGGGAGCTCATTAACAGAAGGAACTTGAATAAGACAGGTACAATGTATTACTATGCAATATGTTATATGTTATATTTTTTAAATGAAATATATACATACAGACATATTAAAGACATAAAAACACTGCTGAACAAAACTTTGAAATTAGTTAGAAAATAGAATATTGTAATAATAAAATGTTTACATTGAATAAGCCAATGAGGCTAAGTATATTTTTTAATACCGGAGTTTGCTTTTTCACAGCTGTATATGCTGTGAAATGATAAAATGAAAAACAGAAAATGTGTTGTATCCTAATTATGGCTAATGTATTTTTTTTAATGAAAG